GTACGCATGCCGGTACGGTATTGACTACTTTGATACAATCTCCTTTCCTGCTTCAGAAAGAGCTATATACTCAGCTTCTGTAGTGGATAATGAAACACTTGTCTACAGTTTTGACTTCCATGAAATTGCTCCCCCTGCATAAAGCATCAAGTATCTTGAAGTGGACTTTCTAAAGTCTAAATCTCCACCCAAATCAGCATCACTATAGCCATTAAGTAAAGATTCATGCTCACCATAACATAAGCACATGTGAGATATACCTCTAAGATACCTAAAAATCCACTTAACTGCTGCCCAATGTTGCTTGCCAGGATTGGATAAAAATCTTCTCACTACCCCCACTGCGTGAGCTGTATCTAGCCTTGTGCATACCATAGCATACATTAGACTACCAACTGTAGAAGCATAGGGCACATTCGTCATGTATTATGCTTCCTCCTTGCTTGCAGGACACTGCTTTGTGCTAAGTTTGAAATGGCTAGCAAGTGGAGTGCCCACAGGTTTTGCTTTGCTCATGTTGAACCTGTCAAGCACCTTTTCAATATATTTTTCTTGTGACAACCACAGCTTCTTGTTCTTTCTATCTCGAAAAATTTTCATTCCAAGAATTTGCTTTGCTGGACCCAAATCCTTCATAGAAAAGGACGTGCTCAAGTCAATCTTCAAGGCTGCAATTTTCTTTGTGTCATGACCAACAATCAACATGTCATCCACATAAAGCAAAAGTATCAAGAAATCACCATCTGGATACCTCTTAACATAAACACAATGATCAGATTCTGTTCTAGCGAATTTATGCTCCCCCATAAAAGAGTCAAACTTACGGTACCATTGCCTCGGAGCTTGTTTGAGACCATACAAGCTTTTCTTCAACTTACAAACCAGATTCTTCTTGCCTTGCACCTCAAAACCCTCTGGTTGCTTCATATAGATCTCCTCCTCAAGATCACCATGGAGAAAAGCTGTCTTAACATCCAGCTGTTTAATTTCTAAATTCAAGCTAGCTGCCAAATCCAAAATAGCTCGAAGAGATGGCATTTTTACTATTGGTGAGAAAGTCTCATCATAATCAATGCCTTTTTGTTGTCCAAAGCCCTTCACCACTAATCTAGCTTTGAACCTTGGATTGGGATTGTTCACTTTAGACTTTACTCTGAAAACCCACTTGTTGTTAAGAGCCATTTTGTCCTTTGGAAGCTCTACCAGCTTATAAGTCCCATTCCCTTGCAAAGAACTCATTTCTTCTTGCATTGCCATCAACCATTCCTTCTTGTTTCCACTCTCCATAGCTTCATAATAAGTTTTTGGCTCTCCCCCGTCAGTCAAGAGCACATACTCGTCAGTGGAGTACTTTCGAGCAATGTTTTCAAACCCGAACCGGAGGTCAAACCGTTTTGACCTTCGGTTCGTGGTTTGAACGGTTCAATCGATTTAACCGGTAAAACTGCCGGCTTAATGAAATACTATAAATATATGATTTTGCAAAAGATATCACACGGTGTTGGTGGGTTGCACTGGTAGATGGCTGATCTTCTATAAGAGAGATTTGGAGTTCAAGTCCTCCCAATAACAAATTTTAATATAATTGTGCTTCAAAGTAGAATAAGTACATTGTAAAGCATTAAAATGACAAAAGAACATTGTGTACAAGTGGAACAACTGTTGTTCTACAACATGGAGACTAAGTGTTCGAATCTCAAGCTTGTAATTAGTAATAAGGTTAAAATCTTTGGGATTTATATGGGTTAAATAAAAGTCCAAGCACTCGTTGACTAAAGCATTGCATTGTCCTGGTGGCAAAGGATCAACCCAAAGACTCTAAGGTTGCAAGTTCAAATCCGGCGGACACAAATTACTCAAGATTTTATGCCCAAGCATTGAACCGTCCGGTTGAACGGTTTGAGTGGTTTCAAATGGTTCATCGGTTCAAATGGTTTCAAACGATTTAACCATTTAAACGGTTCGAAAGGTGTAATTGAACCGTTTAGATCATTGGGTATTGGTTCAATCGGTTCAACCGTCCGATCCGGTCCGATTTTCAAAACCTTGCTTCCGAGATGGTTGATGAAGTCTAGTGGACCTCCTAACTTGAGGTTGCTATGGTGGTTGCACTTGCTCTTCTTGATGTGTTTCTTCTTCAACAAAATGTTCAACAACAGGCTCTTGAACTTGCTGCTCATCTAATTCCCTGTGATCATCATTTAAAGCACTCGGTTTAGGTGTTGAAGGAGTACAATAATCACTGTTTGGTATTTCTTAAGTGTGCTCGCTATCATCTTGCTTCTTTGAGTCTTCAACCGTCTCATTCTCAATGAACACCACATCTCTGGTTCTCATTCATTTTTTGTTTTTCAAGTCCCATAATCTGTAGCCATACTCCTTATCACCATATCCCAAGAACACACATTGTTTTGTCTTTGCATCAAGCTTTGCTCTCTCCTCTTTTGGAACATGCACATAAGCCCTGCAGCCAAATACCCTCAAGTTCTTGTAGGACACTTCTTTGCCTGACCAAACCTTCTCTGGAACATCACCATTTAGAACAACAGAAGGGGATCTATTGATCAAGTATATTGCAGTCTTCAAAGCCTCACCCCAAAAAAACTTTGGCAACTTAGCATGAGAGAGCATACAGACAATTCTGTCACATATTGTTCTGTTCATCCTTTCAGCAACTCCATTATGTTGTGGAGTTCTAGGAGTGGTCTTCTCGAGCTTAATTCCTTTTTCTCTACAATAGCGCTCAAACTGTCCACTGTATTCACCACCATTATCAGACTTGATGCAGTTTAATTTTCTCCCAGTTTCTCTTTCTGTCATTGCCTAAAATTCTTTAAATTTTTCCAGCACCTGATCTTTACTAGACAAGGGATAAGCCCACAATTTTCTAGAAAAATCATCCACAACAGTCACAAAATATGTAGCACCACCTAGACTTTTATCTTTCATGAAGCAAACATCAGTATGAACTAAATCAAGTGCATATTTTCTTCTAGATAGGGGTAAAGTGTGAAAAGAAACTTTATGATGCTTGCCAGCTAAACAATCAGCACATGTTTTAGAAAGATTACTTGTAAAGCCGGGTAGGAGTTCCTTTTTGCTAACGATTTGAAGTCCCTTCTCACTCAAGTGCCCAAGTCTCTTGTGCCATAACTTAGTAGCATCAGCTTCTGTAACATTGATCTGTCCCTGACACTGTTTTGCTTGAGTTTCATAGAGTGAAAATCTCTTCTTGCCTCTTGCCACAACCATAGTGCCCTTTGTGAGTTTCCAACTCCCATTACCGAAATAATTAAGATAGCCATCATCATCTAGCATACCCATAGACATCAAATTGAGACGTATTTCAGGAACATATCTCACATTTTTCAAGTGCAGCTTGGACTCGATGTTTGTTTCAAGCCAAACATCACCAACACCCACAATCTTGGCTTCGAATTTGTTTCCCATCTTCAGATAGCCAAAATCACCTTCTTTATATGAGCTAAACTAGTCTTTATTTGGTGTGACATGATAAGAAGCAGCAGTATCAACAACCCATGTAGAATCATGATGAGCAACATCAATGTTATCATTCTCACATAGCAAGTATACCTCACCATTAGAAGTAATTGCAGTAGTGTTCTCCTTGGCCTCCTTCTCTTCATGAGTATCAGCCCTCTTCCTAACATTTTTATCTCTGTTGTGCCAACAATCCTTTTGATAATGACCTTGCTTTCCACAAGTGTAACAAGTCACTTTGCTCTTTGATTTTGATCTACCTCTGGACTTCCCCTTGCTGTACCTCTCTTGAGACTGTCTGTCATTGTCTCTTCGAATATACCTTTGCTTACTCCTCCCTCGATACTCAGTAACCAGTGCTTCAGACTCAGAACTCATAATTCCTTTCTCTTTTCTTTTGGATTCCTCACTCAATATGCTGTCCTTAACCAGTTGCAGAGTCATCTCCCCATCTCTTGTTGAGTTGCTTAAAGTTACCACCAAAGTCTCCCAACTATCCGGAAGAGAGCTTAATAAAATCAATGCTTGTACCTCATCATCAATGGCCAACTTCCCTGTAACTAGTTCATTCAAAATCTCTTGAAACTTATTCAAGTGCTCAGACACATTCTTGCCTTCCTTGTACTTGAGATTGACTAGTTTTCTAATGAGGGAAGCTTTCTTCAAGGCATTCTTTCTTTCAAACAGCTCTTCAAGCTTAGTCCACAACTTATAGGACTCCTTCTCTTGAGCCACATTATGAATTACACTCATGTCAACCCATTTACGGATTACGCCACAAGCTTTGCGATCAATCTTTTTCCAATCAGCATCATTAATTTCTGCAAGTTTGATGCCTTTGTGCTCAATTGGGTCATAGAGGTCTTTACAAAACAACTTGTCCTCCATCAAAGTCTTCCACAAAGAGTAATTAGAGGTGTTCAACTTAATCATGGTTGAACCATCTTTTTCATTTGCCATGGTTGTTGGAATGAAAAAAGATCACCCAAATCTCACTTGGGAATTTTCACAAACACCTTGTGTGCAAAGGC